ATACCATCCACAACTTGCACATCAGCATAGATATATTTCTTAGTAGCCTGAGGAATCCATGTATTTTTTTTCCATCTCTCATGATGGCGACAATACTTTGAATCAGGTACCCCAAAGACATAAAAAATCAACTCATCAAGCAATGAGAATTTTGAAGTTAAATTAAAAAAGGAAAAGAAGTTTCCATTATTATCTACATAGTTCAGGCTACTCAGGGGCAAACTGGTACATTGAGCAGCTGAATTACACCTTTGGCCTTTGCTAAATCTCAGAAAACCATGCAATTAGTTTCAGCTAAGATTTTTTATTTTTCAAATTTTAATAGTTCCATCCGCTGAGCTCTTCCTGGACCCCTGTGCTATCACGAAACGAGAACCACAAGATGTACTAAAGGTCTACAAGGCACTAATTTATCTGAACTCCAGTAAGGATGTCTTAGGAGAGGCGAGAATGCAGTAACCTGGTACACTAGACACGTTAAGCAAGCTCGGAGGCCACATAAACGTAGTATTTTCCAAGGTAATACAACTGACACGCTTTAGCAGTCCACAACAAACAACAGGCAAGAAAACTCTGATTTCAGTGAGCATGAGCATTTTAGGCAGCGAGATAAGGGCATGACCATTAACGAATCCATGGCCGAATAGCACACAAACCAACACGAGGGCACGATACACGAGAGACTATTGCTTGACGCAAGATATATAGGGTCCCTAGTCCCTACCTGCTGGCTGCTTCAATCTGTCCCCACATCTACCCAACGAAACAAAGAGAGGCATGGAGCGAGGGTTAGGGCAAGGAACGCGGGCGGACCTGAGAGCGTTGGATTCCAGCTGAAAGGGCTCTCCTGGAGAAGGCAGCGGCGGCGGCCGTGCTTGTCGGGGATGCCCACGGCGGCGGCGGCGGCGGCCGGCCATGGGTGACCTGTGTGTCTGTGCGTGTCACACGAGTCGGCAGGGAGGAGACCAACGAACAGGCAGAGCGGCCGTTCTGCTGTTGGAACCTAGCAGGTGGGCTGGACCGGAAACTCGAAGCTGGTTAGCTGCTGAGCCGAGCCAAGGTTTCAGCGCATTAGTATAACAAGTCGAGAAGCTAGCTCACAAGCTGTTCGTGAGCTCAACGAGCTGCACCTCCAAGTTTAGAGTCGAGGAGTAAGCTTCGTGGACGAGGAGCGAGTAAGCTTCGTGGACGAGGAGCTAGCACTCGGTCTTTAGCGAATCCCACTCTGTCCATGGACGTGGTGGTATGTTGAATTTGCTTCATTCATTGATTGGTCCGTAGGTTACGCCTTTACAGAAATCATTCGCTAACTAGATTATTTAATTATTGCTATTCAGATTATTCAATTATTGCTACTCAGATAATGAATTTATCCCCCAAAATTAAGAATGTCATACTTATTTTTGTAATGCAATAGCAATAATTCAGCTATATATTAATACATTTTTTGTCCTTAGCTCATGAGCCAAACGAGCTAGCTCAAGCGTCTTCTCGAGCCGAGCCGAGCTAGCTTTTTAGCTCGTTAGGTATAACGAGCCGAGCCGAGCCAGCTCGATAACCAGGCCTACGGGTGGCTAATGGACCGAACCTTGGGGATTTGTTGGGCTGTTTTTTTTTAACATGGGCTGATTTAGCCCTGATTTCAGGCGCACGAGTTTGTTGTGTTGAGAGGACTCAAATGGCTGGGCCCAACACAAGCAAGCAGAGGCGACAGGTGAGGCCCATCAGCATCAGGCCGAAATGGAAAAGCGAACAAGGCAGGAGACGGAGTGCAGTACTGCAGTTGCATAAACGAAATCAATGTATGACTGATAATGTTGTTTAGGATTAGGAAAAGATTTGGTCAGACCTCAATGCCTTTTTTCGAGGACAACAAACATTTTTCTAACTACTGATGTTCTATATATTGTTCAGTATGGAGTGTACATATAGTTCGACTGTTTGGACAAGGGCTCGTTCAGAGTTTTCTGGATGCAGCAGAAATAAATCCGACTTCCGAACCAGTATTAGTATATCAGGAGTACATAATTGTCATGAAATCAGCATCAACTAGGAAGACAAGTATTATTAAGAAAAAAAATACAGATCACCGACTAGTAACAATTAGTAACCAATAGCTAGTAGTAAAAGTAAGACCGATAAAAAGTGCCCAAGTACATTTATAGTTCTGAAACACTAAGGGTAGCGTCACATATCAACACAAACCACAAAATCATAATGAGTTGGGAAACCGAATTCATTTGATAACTAATATAAATAAAGCCGTACATGCACATGTCAGTCGCCTTCCAGTATTAATTGAAACCAAATAATAACAGAGGATACACAGCCAGTGAAGAGAGGAAACCTGAATGGCCAGCCAATCCACAGAACCAAACTGGAATGTGTAGCATGAACTGATCAAACATCTTCATGCTCATGCAGATCACAGACGAAACAAAAAAAACAGACGAGACTGCTAAATTCCCTTCAAACAAGCATCTCAAGCTGTAAATAATATACAAATACGAATGGGGTACAGGCCAAGTCCTTCCAAATATTTTTTTTTATCCAAAGTGTGATTCATGCAGCACAACGCGACTGCTCCATATTATCATGGACTTGAAAGGAAATTGACCGAATCTTGTTTACATTATACTGAAGAATTTGTTACATAAGCATCACAGTTACAAACTGGATTACGACTCCATTTACTACTTTATATGGAGCCAAGTCGAGTTAGAAATCGTTTTGTAATGCATTCAGTCTAATTTGAGTCTAACCTAGGTGAAGCTAAAATGCTAAATTTATGACTTCAGTGCACCACTGGCAGTCACCAAATTTGAATATTAATCTCGTGCACAGCGCAATAGGTACTTAATGAGCCAAATGGTGTCAAAAGGTCATATTTATTCTAACTTTTGAGCAATCAGGTTAATTCTCAGGTTTACAGGAACGCCAAGCAGCTTTCTTCAGTTAAAAAGCGAAAGATGTATGTTCTAGAATAAAATGTTGTATGCCACAAATATATTGTAAAGAATAATGGTAGTAGTACCCAAATGTTGCTTCATCCAAAATAGGATCAAATAGAACAAGATGGGAGGGAAGATTTATTGGAACTATAGGACGAATATTTGCAGGTGTATATGGGAAAGCTAGCATCATTCTCCCTTCATTTTGCAGCAACAAACTAGAAATATTTTAGCACTTGAATTTGAGATGAAACACCTTCAAAGTGAAATAAAATATCAAAATGCAGAGTGCATACAAAGAAACATTGTCTTGCTAAATGTAATGTGTCTTTACGACACTCTTAAAATAAATGAAAATAATTTGAATGTAAAGCAATCTCTGCGCCTCTGTCAGGTCAAAAGTCTACAAGGCTGCTACAAGTACAAGGTTCAAGTTACTATTCCCCAGCATAGATTAAAGCAATGGTCTGAAAACACTATGAATATCATGTAAGTAGAATCACCAGGCAGCTTTTGAGCTTAATGTAATGGAGCTTTCAGTCAAAATCATTCTGATAAATGCACTATCCACAGCGTACAAAAAAGATACACCGTGGAAACATCATTAATCACTCACTAGCATATTTATAAGATGATTATCATTCTAGAAACATAAAGAGTAGAATATTAAAACTGATAATTTGAATACCAAACATCAGAAGCAGTGCAATAAGGCAACTGCAAACACGATAACTTTTGAGCAGTACCAGGTGATGTCAAAAAAGTACCAGATGGTGTCAAAAAGTCACATTTGTTCTAACTTTTGAGCAATAAGCTTAATTCTCAGGTAAAAACAGGAAAGGCCAGCAGAGTTAAAAAGCGGAAGACGTATGTTCCAGAATAAAATATTTTATGCCATAAATATATTGCAAAGAAAAATCGTACCCAAATGTTGCTTCATCCAAAATAGGCTATCAAATAGAACAAGATGGGATGGAAGATTTATTGGAACTATAGGACGAATCATTGCAAGTGTATATGGGAAAGCTAGCATCATTGTCCCTTCATTTTGCAGCAACAAACAAGAAATCTTTTGGCACTTGAATTTGAGATGAAATGCCTTCAAAGTGAGATCAAATATCAAACTGCAGAGTGCAGCGAAAGAAACATTGTCTTGCTAAATGTAATGTGTCTTCACGATGCTCTCAAAATAACTGAAAATAATTTGCATGTAAAAGCAATATCTGCGCCTCTGTCTGGCCAAAAGTCTACTAGGCTGCTACAAGTACAAGGTTTAAGTTACTATTCCCCAGCATAGATTAAAGCAATGGTCTGAAAACACTATGATTATCATGTAAGCAGCATCACCAGGCAGCTTTTGAGCTCAATGTAATGGAGCTTTCAGTCAAAACAATTCTGATATATGCACTGTCCACAGCATACAAAAGATACACCGTGGAAACAAAATCTAGCAGTCATTGATCACTCACTAGCATATTTATAAGATGATTGTCATTCTAGAAAGGCAAAGAGTAGAATATTAAAACTGATAATTTGAATACCAAACATCAGAAGCAGTGCAATAAGGCAACCGCATACACGATAACTTGCCCCAAGTCTCAATTGCTTACTTGCAGTATTAATTGGACCAAAAACACACTATACATCCAAGCACCAGCGAAATGCACGTCCTAATTCCGGTTGAACATCCCAAGGAGTATGCTACAAGCAACCATTTCATCAATACCTACTACCTAATAGCAAGCACCAACAGTGATTAATTTGATTAAAACATTGCTAATCTCTTTACACTATTGTTGGTTGCCCCTCCAGAAAATCAGTTGAAGCTCTGCCACTAAGCACAGGCACATCTGCGAAATAGGGAACATAAGGGATAATCAGCCCACAGCCATGTCCTAGAGTGCAGAGATCATGCACTTCCTCACTATCCATGTCATATGACATCAGTTTCCGGCTACAGCGGTGAACGAAGAAAACCAAATTGCGATCTGGGTGAATGGCAATCACATCTAAGTTATCGACTCCACAACTCATTTCTCCAAACAGTTGTCAACAACTGATGCCTTGCTTCAGGACCCAGTGTCCATAGCCCTGTGCTGCATCATAGTCCTCAAGAACCCAAATCGATAGTCCAATGATGTGGTCAAGATGGCCTTCTTGTTTTTTATGCGCAGTGATGCAATGCAGGTGTCCTTGGGATTGACCAATAAAAGCAGCAGCAGTAAATTCATTCAAGCCTGGCCAGTCGATCGCCATAATTTTCTTCCCTTGCATGTCCACCACAGCCATCTGAATATCCTTTGTCTGTGATAGTAAGTGCCGCGGGTAGACTGGAACATGCAGCATGCCATTAACATCCGCACAGCCCAACTTAGATCGTACTTCGTCAAATTCCATCAGTCCTCCCCATTTTGTCCATTCTTTAGTACTCTCTCTCCAGACCCCAGTTTCAGATGAGAAGATGTGCACATTTAGCAATAAGCTGATATTGCCACCGCTGTGCCAGAACTGGAGCAGGTGAAAGTGCGAGGAGACAGCCGGGTCGAAGATCAGAAAGCTGTTGACTTCACTTGTCAAACCATCCTCACAATCAAATTCCATGAGCTTTCTCGGGTGTGGAGGAACGCCAGGGCCAGGCACGGGCATCCATTGTTCAGTGGCAGGGCTGCACACGATGTACTCGTATCTGCAATCAATTAAGTGCTCAAAGAGGAGGAGTCCATTGTGGGCGCTCAAGAGGTTGATTTGCTTAATCCCAGGCAGCTTCGTGAGGAAGGAGAACGAGGCATCGACGAGAGGCACGGATTTCCCCGACAGGTTGATGAAACGCCAATCATTCACGCCACCGCCGCCGCCGACGAAGAAACCCTCTAGGGTTTGGGGGAACTTCCGGCGGCCGAGGCGATCGGCGATGAGGTGGCACCATCCTTTGGAGACGCACTTGAACCGGAAAAGAGGCTTGGCGGGGAGGCGGGAGAGGATCTCCAAAGGGGGTCGTTGGGGAAGGCGTCGGCCGCCGCGGCCTTGGTCCTCTTGGGCCCGTCCATGGCACTGCGGACGGAGGACCTGGAGGCGAGATGAGGTCGTAAGGGGAAGGGGATGATGAGCGGGCGGAGAGAGAAATGCAGCGCGGCGGAAGGGTCCGGGGAGCTTACCAGCCGGCGGTGGGATCTACACCTCGCTCCTCCGATTCGGTGGGAAATGCAGATCGCGCTGGGATGGTCCGCACTCGGCACGGCGCGGCGGCGGCGGTACTGGTGTGGGAGTGGGGAACGAATCGAAGCTGTGTGTTGGGGCTGATTACGTGCTTGCGAGTTGGGGGTCTCTCTGGCCCTCTGCGAGTGGGGCCTGGGCGGCTCGTATACTAGTATACGTATATGATAACCAGCTGCCTACACGTATTCGTTGTGTATTTGTATTTGTACACACGATGTGATGTGCACTTACTAACCTGCCTTGAAGAATTCTTGTGTAGAACATGTTCCGTAGGGACTTCCAAGTTGCCTAACGCTTATAATACTTTTTTTTTCTTGGATGCAAGAAAAAAAGAAATCAATTATAGCATCAAAGTCATCGACGAAACTAAACAATGTTTTCTTCTTAACAAAACACTAAGGGCCATCCTAGAATTGAATTCATTCTAATAATTATAATTTAGACATAGATTAATTAAGCTAATATAGTTATATATGAAATATATTTGTATATTTATTGTTAGGCATACAAGGGCCATACTTATATGTTGTATTTCTATTGTAGGGAGGTAAGTTAAACAGTGTGCTATAAGTTGAAGAATAGAATTATAGCATAGTGATCTATAGAATCTATTTCCATCTCTCACCCTATGAATTTGAGATAGGCTTATTTGTGAGCTTGAGAATGTTATGGAATGTAAAATTCTAAGCCAAATAACTTAATCCATTATGTAAATTTCAATTCCTCCAAAATGAAGGGATCCAAACAGCCCTATGTTTTGTGCATTTCGATTCTTTTTTTTTTTTTGTTTCAAGTGATAATGAGAAGATTCTCAGTATTCTTGGGACAATTATAGGTTTTATCATTTATGTTCCATTTCCATACATGATCTCTGTGTTTCTCGCACGGCATAGTCAAACCATAACATCCAAAGTTGACTGAATTCTATTTCATCAAAGTGACTGCATCTGTGTAACCATTTCCACGTTGAATTTGTAGACCAACATTTTTACAGTTCCATGACTAATGCTGGGCTGCCGAAATAGCTACACACAAACCTATTTTTTATTTTTTAATAGGTTTTGAATCATGTTTCATTTTTTATTCAATCTATTATCTGCATAAAAATTTTGAACGAAGAATACTGGACCAGCACATATTCACCCTGCAACAGTACAACAGAAGACATATCAAGCTTGCAAAAGAGTGACTAAAACTCCATGTGCAAACACAGAGCATAGCTACCACCATAAATCATAAATTAAGAGCCTACACTAAGGATATATGGTACTAGCATGTAGCATTTGAGCGTTGGCACAACAGCACAGTGCAATGTATACAGAGTTAAGCTACAGGAAAGCAGCGCTCAGTACGCTGCAAGTTACAACCAGCGCTTAGAGCCACAGCCTGCTGCCTTAGTCTTATGGCGCAAGCAGGTACCTCTTCCTGCCCAACTCTGCATTGTCATACATGTAAAACTCCACGTGTGTTCCTGGTCTAGAAAAGCTCAATAATGTTTGACGCAACTCCCGGACCTTGCTTTCACTGATCGAAAGATGGAAAGCTATTTTTATCTTTTTCAGCACCACTGCCCAGGTGAATAGTCGTTTCACAAAAGCAACTTGATGGTCAGCCTCTTCCATGTCAATGGCTACTTTTTGGAGGCAATTCAAAGTGAGTTCCTCAGTCTTCCAGTCTGTTGGTTGATCACAAACACAGCCAGATGGGCACATATATGATGCCTAGAAAGTAGAAAGATGAGGTGGCTATCACCATCAGGTATTGCACAGATGACATCAGGAAGGAAACAAAATTAGTAAACTGAACTATGAACACCGGGATGCATGTATCAGAGCAGATTTGTCTAACAAAAATACCATTTGTAGTTTTTAGCAAATTAATTGCCACAATATGGTTGCTATGTGCAGCAAGAATAACATTACATAATCCCTAAGGTATTGTACAATCAAAAGCAAATGAACAAAATTTCTCAAAGTCAACACAGACCATTAAAGGAACCTTATTAATGCTCACAGCTCCCATGTAAGTGCTGTCAACCGGACTCCAAGACTATAGGGCTACACTGTATTGCATCCAATTGAAGGGCGGGCCTGGTGCAAGCGGTAGAGTCTTACCGCCTGTGACCGGAAGGTCCCGGGTTCAAGTCGCAGTCTCCTCGCATTGCACAGGCGAGGGTAAGGCTTGCCACTGACACCCTTTCCCAGACCCCGCACAGAGCGGGAACTCTCTGCACTGGGTACGCCTAAACTTTACACTAATAGGGTGTTTGGTTTGAGGAGCCGCTCAATCCTAGATGAGGTGGTGCATCATGAGTTCATTCCTCAAATTTGGTGGAATGACTCCATTCCTCGTACTAGTACTAATTATTAGCTTGTGAGGAATGAAGGGATGATGTATCAACCTATTCCATTCCACAAACCAAACAAAAAAGTGAGGAATGAGTAGATGATGGACCACCTCATTCCTGAAACCAAACACACAATAAGTCGGCTATGCAGCAAATCAATCAGCTCCCCAATTATCTCCAGTACAATGAAAGTATTTAAAGGATGTCATTATTATCAAGAAAAGCATCCAACTCAAATGGAATAATGTATTGTTGTTAGGAGATACACAAACGTGTGCCAAGTGTCTGTATTGTTGTATCTTCAAAGAAAAAAATTGGAACAGAGTACAGTGTCAAGACAAAACTTAAAACGAGAATATCAAGGATAAATCGTGCCAAAAAATGCAAACACAATGCAATTTTTTGTCAGTCACTTGAGTATTTAAATGCAAAATAAAATGATTTACCTCTAAGTCACTATTATGTAGCAACAGTGTCAATTTTCTTAGATCTCTACACATCCTGAGAACATGAAACAAGGCGGCTGCAAAGGTATGTCCGTTGTGTTGAAGAAAGATGGTCAAGATCGTAAGGCGGGGGAGCTTTGTCAAGTCTTCCATGACATATTGTGAGATCCCAATGTCCTGCTGATTCATAAGAAGTCACCGGAAAAGAAATCATATGTATAGGTCAGGAGAAAAAAGAAGAAATCTGATGTTCAAATAACTGATTACTGCACACGAAATGCTTATTATATTATAACATGATAAGGTTGCTTTATATTCTTATGCGTAACCTAGATTAAAGATGCTTATTCTCCATAAAGTATAACTATACTGTACAGCTGTGTATGAAGTCTTTACCAACTGCAAAGCATGAGAATAAGAATATTATTGCTCAATTTCTCAACATTAACGTCCCTGTTTTCACCACACCCAATGAATTCATGTCCCATGACTAAGGTACCACTGCACTGCAGACTCTGAGTATGTGCATCACATTAACTGCTCTTGCGATACACATAACAAGATTTTATTCACCCTTCCTGACACGAGCAAAAACGAAGCAAGCATAAATTCCCAGGGATATTCTAAAATTTCACCATTATCAGGACAGTTCTGTCACCCCACAAGTTGCATTGGGCTGATTGCCAAATGCCACTTTGATTACTCAATTCGGGCACTCTCTTCATTTTTAAAGGCTTAAAGTGAAGTTTATTTTGTCTGAATTGAGACTTGGCCTTCTAGGCTGCCAATATAACTGAAATTCATGCCTATCCTAAATTAGGCATATGTACCACCTAAGCAGATAGCTATTGAACACAAATTAGCTTTGTTACAATAGTAGATTACTAGCAAGTTATTACTTCGACGGTGGCACAACTCTGCATCAGTGAGGATATGAACCCACCTTGGGATAGAAAAGCATGAGTTTAAGTTTCTGGATGACCTGAAATTGGTCCAAGAGCTGCAGAAAACCATTACTGAACAAGGGGTGGTGTAAACGATATACATGAATTGTGCCAACCAGCTGTTGGAGTTGTGCCAAGTTACCAAGCTTGACAGTGGTCGGATCGTACACATCCAACCACTGAAGCCAAATGAGCTGATTGGTTGAAATGTTGGCGACCGGCCGACTATCAACAAAGCAGTTAAGCAATGAAAACTTCTTGAGTGCCTGTGCCACTACAGTGAGCTGCTGCAATCCATCCAGACGATCCAGAAACATTTCCAGGAGAGACCCCGAGTGGATGGCGAGATTGGCCAGCCCACTGGCCTCGCTGACTCTGAGCTTCTGCAAGCCGGGGCACCGCAGCGAGGACACGGCGTCACCGAGCTCGCACGGGCCCTGGAACCGGACGCAGCTGAGGGAGAGTTCAATGAGCCGGCCGAAGACGCCGGCGGTCGGCACGGCAAGGCCAAGAAACCCTAGGTCGAGAGAGACTGCGGTGGCGTTCGCGAAGCAGGGCAGCTGGAAGGCGCCTCTTTCCCCGGCCCCTTCCTCGCCATCGCCACCGGCGTTTGCCCCCGGCACCCGGTTCTGGAAGACCAGGCGGCCGGACAGGCGGTCCGCGGCGACGGCGAGCCACGCCTCCACGGGCTCGGGGGCGGCGTCCAGGGTCCCCACGTGGAGGCAGCGGAGCGCAGCTTCATGGGCGGCGAGCGTGGAGGCGACGAGGTGGGGATCGGAGTCGACGGGGAAGCGGAGCTCCGGGAGGAGCGCCCAGAGGCCGCGCCAGCGGCGGGACAGGACGCTGGTCCGACCGGCGGCGGCGGCATTGTCGAGGAGGAGGAGGATGTGGACCAGAACGTCGTCGGGGAGGGCGCTGAGGCGGTCTTCGTCGAAGGGGTTGGCGGCGCCGAGCTCCATGGGAAAGGCAAATGAATGGGGATGGGAATAGTTTCAGATGCTGCACAGCAGCACAAGCAAGGATCTATTTTGTAAAATTTTCATTATTTTGGGGCGCTTTGCTTAAGAACAATTTGGTGATTTCCTTCCTGACAGTGTGTAAGTACAATTTTTTTAAGAACTCCTCCGGTTCCAAATTATAATTCGTTTGACTTTTTTATGTCAAGTTTGACCACTCGTCTTATTAAAAAAAATTATGTAAGCATAATCAAATTTAAGTCATTCTTGAAGAACTTTTTATAATAAAGCAAACCACAACAAAAGAAGTGATATTTTACACAAATTTTTTAATAAGACGAGTGGTTAAAGTTAGGGGCTAAAAAGTCAAATGAATTATAATAATTTGGAACGGATTTAGTATATATAAAAATAATAAGATATTACACGAAAATCGCGAATAAGGGTCCTCTTTGTTTATTACCAAAATTTACCATGCCACATATTTGACAAGTAAATTGGATAAAAAATTGACATGAATTTAGCAACCCAATGTGAGAGGTTGACGAGTTTCGATAGCACCAAATAACAGCCAAAATTATGGGAGAGCGTTAAGTCGTGACCCGTCGTGCGCGACCCTGGCTCCACATTCTTTCTTCTCACACTGCGCCTTCTTCCTCCTCGGCGCGCCATTCTTTTTTTCCCACCCACCGTGGCTCCTTGCCGGCGCCACACGCCAACGACCCCGCTCACCCTAAATACAAGGCAAGCTCACCGGCATCGTCCTCGACCTCGCCCCCACCGCTCCTGCCTCCACCATCAGCGGCCGGCGCGCGAGCCACCTCTCCACGCCCTGCCCCGCCACCTCGCTCACTGCCCTTCAACCCGCCACCACCGCTGTGTCGCGGCCGCCACCCCTAAAACCTCCTTCTAAGCCCGCCAGGAACAAATCCCTCACTACCCGTCAAATGAAGGCGCCATCATAGTAGGCGCAGGCGCGGCCTTCTTCCTCGTCTCCGGTAGGACGAGGGCTCAGGAGGGAGAGGAAGAGCGCAGGAGGGAGAGGGGTCGCGCTGGAGCGCGACGGTCGTATAGTAACTTTTGCAAAAATTATGGCTTGCCAAATCTTTAGTTTGGCACATTTTGAAAGCGAACCAAGTAGACCCAAATTTTCAAAGTTGTAGAAGGGAAAGCACAGAGAGAGTATGATCCAAACTCCACACCTTGTATTGATCTCAAGTGTTACATATATATAGTTACATGAGAGGCCATTGGCCATGATTACACAGGTGGTGCGGGCGAGCACGCTACGACAGTTGTGCGAGCGCGCATCAATCGAATCGCAGGAGAATCGCCGTGGTGACCGCGTCCAGCGGAGCAAGTGCGGGAGCATGGGCACGTTGTGCCCCTGAAGACTCGGCAATGATCTAACCACCACGGGAGATATGACTCTGCTGACACCCCCCTCAGTCTTGACATCGTCGGCGGTGACGGAAAGACTGTCTCGGAAGTCGAAGAATAGAGCGAAGGGTAGACCCTTGGTGAACACGTCCGCGAGCTGCCGCGCACTGGGCACATGTGTGACACGGAGCTCGCCAATGGCGACCTTCTCCCGGACAAAGTGGATATCCAACTCAATCTGCTTGGTCCGCCGATGATGAACCGGGTTCTTGGACATGTAAACGGATGAGATGTTGTCACAGAACACAACAGTCGCCGTGGGCACCTTGCATAGAAGTTCACCGAGGAGATGTCGTAGCCAGGAGCACTCGGCGACGACGTTGGCGATGGCATGGTACTCCGCCTCGGCGCTGGACCGCGACACGGTCGTCTGTCGCTTGGAGGACCAAGAGACAAGAGAATTGCCGATGAAGATGCAGAAGCCTGAAGTAGAACGCCTCGTGTCTGGACAGCCAGCCTAGTCGGCGTCCGAATAGGCGGTGATCGTCGATGATGTCGCGGTTCGGAGCTGTAGTCCCAGATGGAGTGTCCCTTTGATGTACCTGAGAATTCGCTTGAGCATAGTATGGTGAACATCGCGCGGTGCATGCATATGCAAGCATACTTGTTGCACGACGTACGTGATATCAGGACGTGTGATCGTCAGATATTGCAGTGCACCGGCAACACTCCGGTAGGCAGTGGCGTCCTTGAGAAGAGCTCCATCAGTTGTGGATGGCTTTGGCTTCGTGTCGGCTGGCGTTGCCGCTGGATTACAGCTAGCCATGCCGGCGCATTCCAGGAGCTCGGTGGCGTACTGAGATTGGGACAAGTAGAAGCCGGTGCTGTTCTGACGAACAGTGATGCCAAGGAAATGGTTCACCGGTCCCATGTCCTTCACAGCAAAGGCCTCCTGTAGACGAGCGATGATTTGTCGAAGTAGACTGGAGCTTGACGCAGACAGGATCATGTTGTCCACGTACAGTAGCAGGTACGCCGTTGAGCCACCATTGTTGTAGACGAACAGTGACGAGTCCGCCTTGGATTGCACGAACCCAAGGGATGTAACATGGCCGACAAATCGGTCGAACCACGCCCATGGAGCTTGACAAGGCCGTAGAGCGATCTGGAGAGGAGGCAGACGGCATCCGGCTGACGAGAGTTGACGAAGCCAGTGGGTTGCTGACAGTAGATGTGCTCTTGAAGGTAGCCGTGCAGGAATGCGTTGGAGACATCTAGCTGATGGGCCAACCAATTGTTTGTCGCGACGAGCGTGAGGACGGTGCGTATGGTGGCCGGCTTGACTACCGGCGAAAATGTCTTGCCGAGGTCGATGCCGGGTCGCTGATGGAAGCTTCGGACAACCCAACGAGCTTTATACCGCTCGAGCGTCCCATCGGAGTTGAACTTGTGTTTGAAGACCCATTTCCCGGTGATGATGCGAGCGCCGGGTGGACGTGGAACGAGAGTCCATGTCTTGTTGGCCTGTAGAGCGTCGAACTCACACTACATGGCGGCGTGCCAGTGTGGGTCTTTGATGGTGGCACGGACACTATGAGGGATTGGTGAAATTGCTGGAGAGGCCGTCAGTGCATACTTGGGGTTCGGTTTGTGGATGCCGGCGCGAGCATGGGTGACCATGTGATGGCCTATGGGTGCCGATGTGGGTGAGGTTGGTGCGGTGGCAGGCACTGGAGATGAGCTGGGTGCACTAGGCGACGACGAGGGGGACCACGACGAGGAGGAGCTGTCACTGATCACTGATGGCGCTTGCTGAGGTGCAGGTTGTGCAGCACGCACCGTTCGCGCACGTGTGGGGTGTTGGGGAAGGATGTCGATGAGGCATGGTGGTGTCGATGGTGGAGTCGTGGGCGCGGTCGCGGTCCCACGTCGGCCCGTAACGGGAGGAGGCGGATCCTCAAGTTCCGGTGGAGAAGAAGGCGTGGGGGAGCAAGCCGTGCGGAATGGAAACTCGGTCTCGTCAAACATAACGTGACGAGACGTGATCACCCGCCTTGTCGCGACATCGTAGCAGCGGTAGCCGCGATGATCTGCGGGGTAGCCGATGAAGATGCACGGCGTCGAGCGTCGTTGGAGCTTGTGCTATGTGGTTGCCGTGATGTTGGGGAAGCAACGACACCCGAACACGCGCAGCTCGTCGTACGTGGGGGCGATGCCGAAGAGGAGCTGGTACGGCATCAGGGAGCCGGTGGCTCGGCAGGGACGACGGTTGACAAGGTACGTCGCCGTGGCCAGTGCCTCGGCCCAAAACTCCAACGGTGCTGCACTGTGAACAAGCATAGTTCAAAGACAATCGTTAAGCGTACGAAGAACTCGCTCAGCTTTCCCATTTTGTTGCGATGTATACGGGCAGGACAGACGCAAGTGGATGCCGTGCGTGGAGAAGAGAGAACGGAGAGCATAGGAATCGAATTCCTTGCCATTGTCAGTTTGCAAAGCCAAGATAGGCAATTGGAACTGAGTCTGGACATAGGCTATGAAGGCGCGAATGGTGGGCAGGACTTCAGATGTTTGCCGAAGAGGAATGGTCCACAAATAGTGTGTATAATCATCAAGAAACACAACATAATATTTGTAGCCTAAATAGCTATAAACTGGTGAAGTCCAAACGTCTGAGTGTAAAAGTTGAAAAGGAAAATAACTATGGGAAGTGGAGTTACTGAAAGGTAACCGGACGTGTTTGCCCATTTGACAGGAAGAGCAAACATGTGCATCGGTCTTATTACACTGAAAATCAAAAGACTGTAATAGCTGGGATAGAACGGGTGTCCCTGGATGGCCAAGCCGCTGGTGCCAGAATGAGATTCCGGAGGAAGCAGCAAGAGCTTGATGATGCGGGAGCCGAAGAGGATAGAGGTCGCCCATGCTCTCACATCGGAGCATCTCCGCCTACAATACGAAGATCCTTAACGGAGAAACCAACAGGGTCAAACTTGATCGAAACATTATTGTCGCGGGTTGCTGGACGAATAGAGATTAAGTTTTGATCAAAGATGGTGAAATAAGAACGTCATTGAGGATGAAGGGGATGGGTGGCGGTGGGAATGAATGTTCGTGCTTGGTGCGTGATAGGCATGCTAGCACCATTACCCTTTCGTGATAACAGATGACGAAGGATGAATGGAAGAAGAGGGAAAGTTACCCGGGGATGAGGACATGTGGGACGTCGCGCCGGTGTCGAAGTACCACTCAGATGTGCTCGGTGGTGCTTGCGAAACGCCGGCAGAGTTGAGGGCGGCGTAGAGAGCAGCAGTGTCGAACGCGTTCTGGGGCATGCCGCCGTGGTGACCAGCCGTCATGGCGTGTTGAGGTTGGAAGGGCGGCCGTGGGCCGAGAACACCGGCCCCTGACACACGGAATGGCATAGGCCACGCCTGCACCATGCCCTGCCATGGGTTGTAGCCAGCGGCGTAGGGTGTACCCTGGTTGTTGGAGGAGTTGTTGTTGGTCCTCGGTCCGCCGCCGCCGTTGTTGCCGCTGCCCCCGCCGCGTCCGCCACGACGTCGGTTGGAACGATTGTAGGAGCCCCTGGTGTTGGTGTGGTTGTTGTGACGGGGGGTGTCGGAGGAGGATGATCCATCGTTGGCAGAGCCGGATGATGCGCTGGATCGATCACCATGAGAGGCGGTGAGGGCTTGACTAGCTTCAGCCTTGGCGTCGTTCTGGAGACTGATTTCCTCGAGGATGAGGAAGGAACGAGCGCTCATGAAGGTGTGCGGCGGGTGTTTGGCGGTGATGATCGGCTTGACGTAGCGGTACTTGGGGTTGAGGCCGCGGAGTAGATTGAGCACCTGGCTCGGCTCGGAGACGGGGTGGCCGATGTCGCAGAGCTGATCGACGAGCCTCTTCAACTTGGTGCAGTACTCATTCATCGACAGATCGCCTTGCTGCAAGGAGCGCAGCTCCGCCTCCAGGTAGACGGCGCGCTGTAGCTCATTATCCTGGAACAGGTCCTCGACGGCGTGCAACAGAGAGAACGCGTCATGGCGATCACGACGAACAATGTCGAAGACGGACTTGTGGACGGTGGAGAGGATCCAGTTGACGATGCATGCGTCAACCATGCGCCACTCGCCGTCGCGATCATCATCGGGCGCAGTAGAACGGACGTGGCTCTGAAGGCCGAATTTTTCGAGGGTCGACTCGAAGAAGAGACGCCATTGGCCATAGTTGGCCTCGTCCATGTCAAGGATGACAGGAACGTGATGGCGGATGGAAATTCCCTGGATCTGGGAGGCGCTGGCTGGATCAATGGAGAAGCCATCATCGGAGGACTCTGAGGTGTTGGAAGAGGGAGCCATGGCAGCGGAAGAAGTGGCGAAGGGATTTACGAAAACCTTGGACGATGATATCATGTAGAAGGGAAACCACAGAGAGAGTATGATCCAAACTCCACACCTTGTATTGATCTCAAGTGTTACATATATATAGTTACATGAGAGGCCATTGGCCATGATTACACAGGTGGTGCGGGCGAGCACGCTACGGCAGTTGTGCGAGCGCGCATCAATCGGATCGCAGGAGAATAGTCGTGGTGACTGTGTCCAGCGGAGCAAGTGCGGGAGCGTGGGCATGTTGTGCCCCTGAAGACTCAGCAATGATCTAACCGCCACGGGAGATACGACTCTGCTGACAAAAGTGATATCAGGCGTGTTTGAGTTTCAAACTCTGTTGGTCAAATCACCATAGGGTATGATGGCAGGTTCTCTTCCCACCTCGCCGCCGAGGTGCTGGAGCTAGCCGCGGCCAGGGACAACAAGAAGACCTGCATCATCTCGCGCCACGTGCTCCTGGCCATCCGCAACGATGAGGAGCTCGGCAAGCTGCTGGCCGGCATCACCATCGCCCACGGCGGTGTCCTCCCCAACATCAACCCCGTGCTCCTGCCCAAGAAGGTCGCCGAGAAGGCATCGGCAGCCAAGGAGCCCAAGTCGCCAAAGAAGGCCGCCAAGTCCCCCAAGAAGGCATAGGGAGGCCGCCATTAACGCTGTGATGTTGAAGGCTCATGTTCAGTAGATTTTAGGTCTGTAGATGGCACGGTCTTTGCGCTCTAGTGTCGTTGTTGTTGTTGGAACTGTTTAGTAGGTCTGTGCATTTTGGCTGGAAGGAGATTTCAGAAATCAGAGTTTTGTACTTGCAAAATGTTCTTTGATTTCAGAAATCAGATTTGCAATTTGGGTGCATAAATCTACTGGCAGTAGTTTATTTAGTAGTATAACTGAAGAACATACAATAGTTGTTCGACAAACAACTTATAACAGTCACAAATCATAAGTTCATCCTGCGTTCATTTTAGACAGCCTGTGCATAAGCTCAAGAATGATTGAACGAACAATGAATCTAGAATTAGACAACCGAAAGATCAAAGCGCCGCCGCAATGTTACGTCAACAAACTGCAGACCACGCAGTCAAAAGATGCGGATGAATCTGCAACCTTGAATCAGAGTCAGTATTGAAGGTCACAGATTTTCAGCAAAACGTTGGACCGTAGCAAGAGAAACGTTGGACCATAACAGAACAGACCTTACTCAGTCTCACATGATCACATCAAACATACCAATATCTAACAGGAATTGCTAACAGATGGATCCACACCAACAGACAACAAACAAGTTCCTGGTAAAATCTGCAGTCCACCACCTGACCAAGCACAATTGTTGGATGCACCTACCTCACAATTGTGTGGAAGCACCTAGCTCAACTCAACCGTAGATTGCTGCAACAAAGAGCAATTGTCTGTGTCTAGCCATAATACAATGAGAACTCTAATACAATCACCTTCCACAACAATGTTAAAGTACTTCAAATAATCAGCATCTATAATGAACTTTAAGCTCCGTGCCTCTGTTCTAGCAAACAGTAAAGGGCGTACCCAGTGCGATTTCTTTTTTATTTTTAACAATTTTTGTAAACGAATTTTAAATTTAACACTATTTTTTTTTCAAAACTAACACTTTTGGCCGCGTCTATTGCCATGGCGCGGCGAAACGCCTGTGCCGCACCATGCATGGTGGCACGGCGAGAGGGGTGACGTGGCGACGACCGGGGCGCTGACCGGTGACGTGGCAGGGTCTGCCGCGCCATAAACTACGGGCTGGCGCAGGACTGGACGAGACGAAGACCAGCCTCATTCTTTGTCGGTGAGGGAGCAGCGACGCCGACCATGGACCCCCCGGCGATCGCAGCTGAACGGCACCTGCAGCTCCAACTCCACTGCCTTCGCCTTCCTCGACCCCTCGCTGGTGGGCTTCGACAACGCCTTCTACCGGAACCTGTAGGTCGGCAAGGGCCTCCTGGGCTCCGACCAGGTGATCTACTCGGACATGAGGTCACGCAGCACGGTCGACTACTACGCGTCCAACCAAGGTGCCTTCTTCGGCAATTTCGTGACGGCGATGACCAAGCTCGGGAGGATCGGGGTCAAGACGTCGGCCACCGGCGGCGAGATACGTCGGGACTGCCGGTTCCCGAACTAGTTGCTAGTTAATCTCATTTGGCAAAGTCTTTGCCGCGACGCATCAAACGAATATGAAGCAAATAAATAGAGTCCGTATGCGCCAAGTTGACAAGCGCCACATAACATTTTCATTGGTTCATGAGTCTGCAAGTTTCGGACGACAATATTTGTTCGACATAAGTTCGACATAACCAACTAAGTCCTAGGAGTGTAAGGATCCCTCGGACGCCTCTGTCTCTTCGGATTTATAGGCAACACATTGGGAGTGTAGCCAACGTCGGTGTGGTCACGTTGTCGGTGCGTACGGCTCGTACCCTGCAAGTATATGATATGCACGATTACTTATAATCTTTATGATCGTTCGTTTATGAAGCCTACGTATTTAAAGAAACTACCTTTGTTACTACATGTGAGGCTCCTTGGGTACCAAGCGAGGCACCACCTAGCCGAGACATTCAATCTCGCCCTGCTGGCCAATCATCCCACCGGTGGTGCTGTATGCGGAAGCCCGGGGGTCATCGTCCCTGTTACTGTGGTCCTTCCCAGTAGCTTATGATGTGTGGTGTACGATCATGAAGCAGCACCTATCACCCGGTGAGAAGAGCCGGTTGGTGTCCTCAAAGAGCCGTATAGGCGTGCCACCCGACCGCGCTTGGGAATGCCGGTTCCACCCAAGGAGTGTCCATGCAGCTCAACTTCGAGAGCTAGCTTCATGCAGCCCGCTTCACGCTCAGTATAAATAGACGTTAAAGTTAGTGCATTTCCCAAATGCATATACACTAAAGAAACATTTTCGGAACGGATAAGTTTATGTTTACCTCCATAAAAGTCTCGAGAACGCCTGGCCCCTGCCCTCTAGACTCGTGAAGCCAAAATGCTGCTTCGTTGGACATCCTTGACAATTGTGTCACCTGGGTACAGAAACGTGGTTGGACAATTTTAGTACACATACTTAATACCAAATGGATAAGAAATTGTACCATTCGAGAATCTTACCATGTATCTTTGAAGCGGGTTCTCTCAGAGTTGTGTGTCGTTCCTAGTGGCAATGTCGTACACATCTTCGATCACATCTTCCTCGTCGTCCTCGTCAATCGCCTCCTCGAAGCACGGGGCTTGATATGTGTGCTCATAGACCGTGAAGCCACCGCAGTACTAAATCGAAGGTGTGCTTGTTTTGCCACAATCGGATGTATGCTATTTGTGAGTCACGTACAATCCTTGGTCTTGTACCTCTTCCCTGATCATACCTCCAACAAAATGATTGTTAGTTGTACCATACACACCTTTGAATTGTAGCTTTGTTATTAATCGATAACGCACCCATGCAATTCTTGGTTGGTGGAGTAAAGCGGTGGTGGGTAGCCTGTCATTCTTCCAAACTACCTGCAAACCCTGATGGGCAAGTGAATCTCGACCACGTGGAAGAAAATAAGAGGGACATTGCAGCGATACTTGTCTGACTCATCCCTAGTGATAGGACTTAGATAGTACTCGAGCTCCAGAGCATCCCAAGGACACCAATGCACCTGAATATTTCGTAATTGAGTTAGGTTGTGATATAGTGTACATCGAACAAGACACATGTATGATAGTAAAGAGAGCGTAACCTAGTGCTATGTTAGGACGTCGAGACCATCCGTGTACTCCCTGTACTTACGCCTCGCATTTCCTCTAACTAACTCTGCTTGCATCCAGATATACAGAGCTATAGGGAGTGTATCCTGCCCGTTCCAATGCTGCATTGAACACGATAATGAATTAGCCATTAATAATTTTATCATATGTAACTGCTTTGAAGAATATAGTGAACCGAAGTACTTACCAGTAAACCAGTAGCAAGGGGCCTCCCAACGGGCCATCGTTCCCAACACCAAACCTAGAGTAGGTAGGAGCAACCCCCAAGGTTCGCATACTCTGAAGTGCGACGGCAGGCAATGCATAGCCATCAATACGTCCATGCCAGGACTGCGCTACCCCAGCTGTACGCCGCTATGTTATCCACAGTGGCGTGAGTATGTCAAGAAGGATCCGGTGATGGTGTTGCCCGAGGCGTCCGGGAATAGGAAAGCACCAAGGAAGTGCTAGAGCCACATTCTAGCGAACCCGTCGATCCGAGCCTCATCACTGTGGGTCCAAGTAATCAAAGCGCTATGTGATCCACGACGATGAAACACTAGAACTTTTCCCCGAAATTAACCAAAGAAAATGAGACCCGATGATAGCTCTGAAAAAGCAATGCAAGTATTAAATAGGCTTGAATTGCTCACTTATTTTTCTTAGAAATCTCGTCCGTCGGTGGAAGAAAGCTAGTGAACTGAGCCACCAGCTCCCTCTAGTGATCGTTGTCAACTATACCTGTCACTGGAAGTCTCCCCAACCGAATGCCAAAGATAGCCTTTACGTCCTGCATGGTCAAGGTCATCTCGCCGTAAGGTAGGTGGAACGTGTGGGTCTCAGGCCTCCACCTGTTATAAGAATAGAACGACTGTTAGTTGCCTCAAATTTGTTATAAGAATGTTTACGTACAATGAAGGCACTCGACTCGCTCTACATGCGCAAAGAAGTAGTCTTTGGGTCAAGAGGCGGAAGACCGTAGTTGACAACACGGACAAGCTTGAGAAAGCTGGCACGCCGTATGTACGCGCGCGTAACGCTCGTCCCACTGGTGCGTCCTAGTGTGCGTGCGGGGCCTCAAAGGAGACAAGGGCACCTCTGCGTCGGTGTCATTCAAGAAGTGTGCTTGGTGCGGCTCGTCGTACTCCACCTCAAGAAGGGGGTACAACGGGTGCTGTGTGGGAGGGGCCATCCTGTTGCAAATGGATAAACAAAGGGTTAGAGTATTTAAATTAACAATATTCAAATTAACATTATGTAGCATTGCAAAATTTGAACTACTTATTATGCAATAGGAACACAATATGAAAGCACATGTATATATTTAAAGTAACATTAACAGACATATTAAATAACTTCACTTGGAAAATAAGCAACTTCTATGTATGGACCTGCCGTCTACCAGTGTTTCTTATTAAATTATTACAATAGCCTGTCTGCATCTGCTAGAGCAGCTCATTATAATTTTAACCTAGGGATGAGTAGCCCAGTATAAGATGAATTGATTGAGAACTATCACGTGTGTCATACTTAGTCCTATACTCTATACTAATATGTCTAAAAATACAAGATGTCTACTTTTTTCGCACAATGCTATGATGGACTCATAGCTTTAAGCACAAGACTAGAATGCTGTTGAGATTACTGTGAGAAATATGAGATAGCTTCTATAGTCACAATTTTACCTCCTTTGTCACTAAGTTTTACGATTTGTGTATGCTGATAGCAGTACGATATCAACAATGTTGTGCATGATTTTGGAGGTTCTAGTGCTTTTAATATATGCTTGAGTAAAATGATCATTTGGATTATTGTTTCCATATAAGAAAACAAGCATATAACAATTTAAATCATAAAAACTCAACCAACCAAATTTGTCGCTATATATATGTATG